TTGTGATCGATACAATCACAAATCTCTGTCTTGTTAGCACGACAATGCATGAAATTTAATATGCATATAATAAATGTGACTGTAGTCAACTTATTTTGTATGTTCTAATACTACTCTTGAAGGATTCTATACCTGAAGTATAAATTCAAGTGATATTAGCATGAGTGGAAGTATAAATGCCTACACCTTTTAATTTATACCGAGAATTGGTTGCAAATAGAAGGTTGTAGAATTATGTTATTTTGACTAAATTGATTTGTCCAGTATTGGCACTACCCTTTTCAACTATGACTGTAGGGCAAACATTTTCAACAACGAAAAATGTGAAGAGGGAAATTTGTATCAAAATTGATGATGATTTTCTTACTGATTGTATGACATTCTACATGGAACGAAAGTCTACTATGAATTTAGATGTATGTTTTATTATTGATTAATTATATGCTTGTCGGGCACAACTTGAGGGTAAAGGTTATATTATCATTTTTATTTTTTTTTGTTATATATGAATTTTATTCGTACATTAACTTTTAAAAAAATAATTGCCCCATGCAACGTAAATTCCTGACTTCGCCTGGAAAGCATGTAATATTGAAATTGACCTAACATCTGATTTGATTTGGGCCCATCTTTGTTAATACTTAATAGTAATAAACAATTAAAAAGATGAAAGTGGAGAAGTTTTATTCATATCAATACTAAACACGAGTTACAAATGAAGTGAAGAGAGTCCTTCACCGAGCATTATCCAAAGCACTGCTACAAACATATCAAGTAAACACTAGAAATATTAGGTAGTCAAGTTACACATTCGTGCTTGGAGCTTAATTAGTTAAGCTGAAAAGCAGTGTCATAAGCAATTCCAGCCTTCCAATCACTGGGAATGGCACTGGTTAATTGCACCCACTTCATTTCCTCGTTGCCCTCGGCCACCACCTGAAGTCTAAAGTTGAGAGGCCCCGGTGGTGGGTTCTGATGGTCGAATACTGTTCCAAAGACTCTTCGCATTGGCCTCCATTCGTTGCGATCCTCCTGCCAACATCAATGACAAAGTTACTTTTTTAGAAAGTAAACATTTATTTAAAAATCATGTTTCAAAAAGTAAAAAAGAAAAGTATATACCTGTCATATTTCAACCGCGATGATATCATACATTCTCTCTTTATACAATGGCACTACGGCCAAGTATTGAGGGTATTTGCTGTGCTCATGGACTTTTAGAAAGAGATTATAACCATAACGACAAGGAATTCTTTTGAATTCGATGTCAACTACGCCATATGAAAATAGTTCTGCAGCCATGTTGGATCGAGCCAATTTTGCGTACGTTCGTGTACTCAATATGAAGTGTGTACGGTCTCCCTCGCCATAATCCGTTACCACTACCTTCGCTCCTTCCTCGCTGCAGTGTGTTGGGATTCTGCACCTTACCTAATTCATTTAGTCATTGAAGCATCAGCTTAGAAGAGAAAATAAGCATAAGCTAAAAAATAAATAAATAAATAATTTAGTTATAGCTTTTTTGTCCATTTTCAAAAAATGGTGTACCTGATAGCAAGCACCGCAACTAGTTCCATTCCTATAAAGCCTAGAGACTCCAGTGATTTCATCATTGTTGACAAACGTCCCATATTCACCAAACCCACAAGCTCCAGCTAGTAAAATTATGACAAAAACTTTTTGAATTAGCTACAGACTACAGTATTGTTGAGAAAAAAACTGAGTTATGGGCCAACTTTGGCACGAGTTTTGAGTGGATCCAGTTCAATTTGGAAGATGAAAGTTGATTTGTGTTCTCCTCCATGAGTACATCGAAATCATATACTTACTTACCAAAGATGATGCTCGGGTGAATGAGAAATTGAGGCTCAATATGTGCCACTCAAAAGGGAGTTTATATGGAAAAAATGAATTTGTCCCACATAGGAAAAAGATGAGAAACTCCAAAGGTCATTGCCATTAATGGTAGCCTAGCCTGCTCATTTTCCTCATTTCAACACACCAAAGCAAAAGCTTTCAAGTTTAGAATACACAAAAAATTCATTTGCATAGAGTTCCGTCTTTTCTTCATTTCTGTCTTGGTGGTGGTGTAGTTCAGGCACTAGTTCAGTTCGCCAGAGTGGTTTTTGCAGTGCTCGAAAGCTACAGGTTTTATCGTTGTATCCTAAGAAACGGACGCTCGTTTTAAACCTCAAGCACGGACGGTGAGGGAGCGAATCTGTTTTAAGGAAACTGTGTATAACACAGGCCTCAATTTGAAATTTCATTTTCTACAATTTTAATTATTCGTTCTGTTATTTATTGCAGTAAATTCAATAGTTGATTTGTTGTTCATTCTGTTATTATCCAATTAGTTGTACTACTGTAACTTGCTGTTATATATCATCTTACCGGACAAAAGGCATATACGGTATTGAAATTGAGAATACCGAATTCCTCATTTTTCATAAACTTGTCGGATTTCAGAAAAGTTCGGTCGACCGAACTGGTGAAACTTGGGATTTTCCCTACAAGCTTAAAACAGATTTTCAGAAAGGAAAAATTGGTTTCTATATTGATTATTTCTGAACTGATTAGTTTCTTATATTTGTTATATTGTGGAAACTAATTTGTTGTTTGGTTCTTTCAGAAGACGAAATGGCAACCGGTTCCACCAACATGGATTCCAACATGGATGTGTCCCAAACTGTAGGTACCCAAACTCAGGCTGTGGGTTCTTCTATGGGTGCAGTGTCTAGTTCGGCTATGGATGTAGCTATGGCTGCAAGGCCTAGCTCTGTTATGGCTCAGACTGTGGCTCAAGTGCCAAGTCGTGTTGTGAGCCAACATGTGGCTAATGTTCCGGTTAATGTACCGGTTAACCATGGGAAAAAGCTGGAGAAATTCAACGGCTTGAATTCCAAGAGGTGGCAGCAGAAAATGCTGTTCTATCTGACCACCTTGAATCTTGAGAGATTCTTGACTGAAAGTGCTCCAAAACTCCAAGAGGGTGAGGTGGATGTTCAAGCAATCAGTATTGTTGATGCTTAGAACCACTCGAACTCCTTATGCCGGAATTACATCATGAACAGTTTGGCAGATTCGCTATACAACGTGTATAGCACCATGAAAACTGCTAAGGAGTTGTGGGAGTCTTTGGACCGAAAATATAAGATTGAGGATGTCGGGCCTAAGAAATTTATCGTCGGCCAATTCTTGGACTATAAGATGGTGGACTCCAAAACTGTAATCAGTCAAGTGCAAGAACTACAAATGATTCTTCACAAAATTCATGCCAAAGGGATGATTCTGAGTGAAACTTTCCAAGTGGCTGCAATCATTGAAAAATTGTCTCCCGCGTGGAAAGATTTCAAGAATTATCTGAAACACAAGCAAAAGGAAATGAACGTTGAAGAACTGATTGTTAGACTTCGAATTGAAAAAGATAACAAGAGTTTCGAAAAGAAGTGATTCAATCCTGGTACGGCTAAGGCCAATATTGTTGAACATGATCAAAGTAGTAAGAACTACAAAACTAAAGCTGGGCCATCCGGTGGAAAAGGGATCAAGGTGGGACCAAAATGGGACATTCCTAAGAAGAAATTTCAAGGAAAGTGCTTCAACTGTGACAAAGTAGGTCACAAATCTTCGGAGTGCAGAATGCCAAAGAAGAAGAAAGAAGCAAATGTGGTTGACTACATGGCACATGATGTGTCGGAGATGAGTCTCACAGCAGTCATTTCTGAAGTGAACATGGTGGGTTCTAACCCAAAAGAATGGTGGATTGACACCGAGATATGTGTGCTCTGATAAAGAGTTATTTACTGCTTTTGAAGCAGTTGAGAATGGAGAGAAGTTGTTCATGAGAAATTTAGCAACTTCTAAAATCAAGGGCTAAGGAAAAGTGGTTCTGAAGATGACTTCGGGAAAGGAGCTGACTCTCAACAACGTGCTGTATGTGCCGAAAATCCGCAAGAACCTTGTGTCCGGGTTGCTTTTGAATAAGCATGGTTTTCGCATTGTGTTTGAGTCAAACAAGATCATCTTGTCGAAAAGTGGAATATTTGTCGAAAAAGGTTATGTTTCCGATGGAATGTTTAAACTCAATGTAATGGTTGTTAAACCAAAAATGAATAATAAAGTGAACGCTTCTGTTTACTTGCTTGAGTCTTCCAATGTGTGGCATGGTAGACTAGGACACGTTAACTATGATACTTTACGTAGGCTAGTTAACTTGAAATGCATACCAGCATTCCATGTTGATTCCAAACATAAGTGAGACTTGTGTTGAAGCAAAATTGACTAGGTCGTCCTTTAAGTCAATTGAACGAAATACAAAATCACTTGATTTAATTCACAGTGATATATGTGATTTAAAATTTGTACAAACAAGAGGTGGCAACAAGTATTTCATTACTTTTGTCGACGATAGCACGAAATACTGTTATGTGTATTTGTTAAAAAGCAAGGATGAAGCGATAGAGAAATTTATTCTCTATAAGAATGAAGTTGAGGATCAACTTAATAAGAAAATTAAGGTGCTGCAAAGTGATCGAGGTGGTGAGTATGAAGCACTGTTTGCTGAATTCTATGGACATGAAATCATACATGAAACCACTGCACCGTATTCACCGCAACAAAATAGTGTTGCTGAAAAGAAAAATCGCGCCTTAAAGGAGATGATGAATCCGATGTTAGTAAGTTCTGGATTATCTCAAAACATGTGGGGGATGCTGTGTTATCAGCAAATTACCTTTTGAATAAGGTGCCCCGAAAGAAAATGGAGAAGACCCCTTATGAGTTATGAAAAGGAAGAACGCCTTCCTATAAATACTTACGAGTGTGGGGTGTCTTGCTAAAGTGGTTGTCCCAACACCAAAGAAGGTGAAGATAAGCCTGAAAACTGTAGACTGCATATTCATTGGATATGCACATAACAGTAGTGCTTATCGGTTTCTCGTGTATGAATCTAAAATCCAAGATATACACAGAAACACGATAATGGAGTCGAGAAACGCTTCATTCTTTGAACATGTGTTTCCATGCAGGTCCGAAGAAGAGGCAAGTTCTTCTAAACAGACATATGAGACTATGACTAAACATAGTCAGGACCAAGAACCAGAAGGAGGTTGAGGTTGAACCTAGACATAGCAAAAGGGAAAGGACAGAAAAATCTTATGGTCCGAATTTTCTGACCTATATGCTAGAAAGTGAACCTCAAAGCTATCAAGATGCTGTGAACTCCTCGGAAGGATCTCAATGGAAAAAGGCCATTAAAAGTGAAATAGATTCTATCCTGCAAAAAATCATACATAGGAGCTAGTGGATCTTCCAGCAGAAAGTAAGCCACTAGGCAACAAGTGGATTTTCAAACGAAAAATGAAAGGAGATGGAACTATTGAAAAGTATAAGGTTAGGTTGGTAATAAAAGGTTACCGAAAATGGGAAGACCTTGATTACTTTGATACATATTCTCCAGTAACGAGAATAACATCCATTAGAATAATACTTGTGATTGCTGCTTTGCGAAATCTTGAAGTACATCAAATGGATGTTAAGACTGCCTTCTTGAACGAAGACTTAGATGAAGAAATCTATATGGAACAACCCGAAGGGTTTTCGTCTCCAAGGCAAGAAAAGAAGGTGTGTAAATTGGTGAAGTCATTGTATGGCTTGAAACAAACACCAAAACAATGGCATGAGAAATTTGACAGTGTCATGATGGAGAGTGGATTTAAGATCAACGAGTGTGATAAATGTGTTTACGTTAAAGACACTGGCTATGTCATTTTATGTCTTTACGTTGATGACATGCTTATTGTTGACAGCAACAATAAGATGATCAAATCCACTAAAACCATGTTAAATTCGAGATTTAACATGAAAGACGTGGGTCTAGCTGATGTTATACTTGGAATCAAAATTTCAAGAACATCGGATGGTCTTGTTCTAAGCCAGTCACATTATGTAGACAAAATCCTAAGAAAGTTTAGTAAGGATGATACTGAAATGGCTAGAACCCCGATAGATACGAGTCAACATATATCTAAGAACAAAGGTGCAAGTGTGTCTCAAGTAAAATACTCGAGAATTATTGGAAGTCCGATGTACTTGATGAGTTGTACAAGACTAGACATAGCCTACACAATGAGCAAACTGAGTAGATACACGAGTAATATAGGAGCTGATCACTGGAGAGGAATAGTAAGAGTACTAAGGTACTTGAGATATACTCGTAATTTTGGACTGCACTATAGCAAATATCCAACGGTCATTGAAGGATATAGTGATGCTAATTGGATATCTGACATAAAAGACTCAAAGTACACGAGTGGATTTGTGTTCACATTGGCAGGTGCAGCTATATCATGGAAATCTTCTAAACAAACAATGATAGCCAGATCCACTATGGAATCTGAGTTTATAGCTCTAGATAAAAGTGGTGAAGAGCCTGAGTGGCTACGTAACTTCTTAGAGGATATTCCAAGATGGTCAAAGCCTGTGCCAACAATTTGCATATATTGTGAGGTTTGTGGAGTAGGAAAATTTATTATCTATGTTTTAATAAATTGTTGAGTGTTTACTTGATGAGTGATGATCCTTTTGAAACCTTTAACCATTGCAACGGTATTATATAATGCCAAATTTAATACAGCAATCACTCCAATTACTTTATTATTAGTGATAATTAAGATGGGGTTTCAATTTTGGGTATTGTGGTCTGTGGTCGTTGGTACTAGGTTGTTGAATTAAATTCCTAGAATCTGTGCATTGCAACGAGCTCTATGATTTGTAGGAATCTTAGTTGTGAGTTCATTCCTCTCCTTTTATGCTGATAGGTAATTTTCATGGAACAATAAACTGTATGAAAATCCGGTGATCACGAGTTTGAATGAAAGCAAAGGCCAAAGAGAGAGGTCTCCAATAGAGCATTATTTAGGAATTTGAACCAATGAAAATATTGAAAAGATGCTCACCTAGTCACGTAGCCACCTTGGCCATGGTTTTCATAACAGTTAAATCTTTATTTATTAGTTCCAATGCTTAAACATTACCAAAATTCAAATCTTATTGGCTTCTAGGATCTACTTTTTGAGCATTAGACTTTTTAAGCACCAAATTTTATCTTCACATATAATCTAAATTTATCGACAACAATTAATTGGGTGTTATGATATCGACAACAATTAATTGGGTGTTATGAT